TGTAGGCTACCACGCCCGGCTTGGAAGGCTGAGGCGGAAGGATCGCCAGAGCCCAGCAGGTCGAGGCTGTGGTGGCCGGGAGCAGCCACTGCACTCCAGTCTGGGCGACAGAATGAGACTCCAACTCAAAAAAAAAAAAAAAAGAAATGATGTGCCCAAAACTAAGAGGAAGAATTTAGTAAGAATAGTTAAGTTAACCTTAAACTTGGCATAAGAACTGAGAGAAGACAGTTTTAAATATGTTAATAGTTGCAGCTGGGCTCGGTGGCTCAGCCTGTAATCCCGCGCTTTGGGAGGCTGAGGTGAGTGGATTGCCTGAGCCCGTGGGTTCGAGACCCGCCTGAGCAACTTGGTGAGACCTCATCTCTACAATAAATCAAAAATTAGCCTGGTGTGGTAGCGCGTGCCTGTAGTTCCAGCTACTTGGAAGACGGAGGCAGAAGGATCGCCGGAGCCCAGCAGGTCGAGGCTGCGGTGGCCAGGAGCGGCCACTGCACTCCAGTCTGAGTGACAGAGTGAAACTCCAACTCAAAAAAAATAACAAAAAAAAATATTTGCATAGTGTCCAAAAAAGCCACCAGAGACTTAGTGTTCTATACTTATATAGCATTCTGTCCAATTTTGGGTACCCAGTCTGAGGGACAGAGAAATGAGAGTGACCGCCAAATAAGACCTTGTCATATGAGAAGTGGTAGAGGAGTTTTAGCACATTTGTGATTGGCAAATTTTTCACTTTACTAATACTGAGGAGCAGGTGAAAATAAGAATCTGAAGCTGATTGCCATAAACAACTGTCGTTAAGCACAAGTGAAATAGTCTTAATTGTCATCTTTTTCACAACTGAAAGTTGCAAATATCCAGTATTTGTCTCAGACACCACTCTGACTAGCATTCATACCTTGTATTTTTATTTGGACTGTAAACCCGAAAAGAAAGTCTTCCACGATAAGGTATTATGGGTTCATCCAAGGAAAATTCTTTTTCAGTTTGGACACAGTGTTGAACTTCAGTTTTGCATAATCTGCTTGGATTTGACTGCATTTCTGCACTATTGGAAAAATGCAAAAACCACAAAGTTTGTAGGAATTTCTCTCATTATTTTTTTAAAAGTTGTCGCAATGGACAGACATGTTGACCAATCATCATGAATTGTGGTTTTCTTCACTTGTCCCACCAAAATAATGCTAGAATTTTTTTCATCTTGGACAATGTACTATTATTCCACTTTCGTTTTATTTCTTTGGACATTTATATCCATGGTTCACCTGAGCATAATACCTGTTAGTTTCAGTTGCAATCGTTTCTATAAAATCATCTGTGATAAATAGTCCACAACTTCACTTATACTTGGAGGATCATTTAGAAATACCTTGACACCTAGATTCCAATAAACACATGTTAAGTCAGGCACTGTGACTCATAACTAATCCCAGCACTTCGGGAGGCAGAGATGAGAGTATTACCTGAGCCCATGGGTTCACAACCAACCTGGGCAACATAGTGAGACACTGTCTCTACAAAAAATCTAAGATTAACTGGGCGTGGTGGTGCATCCCTGTAGTTTCAGCTTCTTGAAAGGCTGAAGTGGAAGGATCACCTGAGCCCAACAGGTCGAGGTTGCGGTGGCCTGATCATGTCACTGCACTGCAGCCTGTGCGACAGAGACTCTGACTTAAAAAAAAAAATTTTTGGATGTTTTGTCCATTCAATGATTCATTCACTGTCATGGATTATCTGTTATATTTCTTCATTTGTATCGCACCGTTACATCACTATCTGTCTCACTATAATAAGTTCACTGAATTCACCTTCAACATCAAATCTCATCAGCATATATTTCTTTATTCTCCATAATTATGACAAATTATTATTATTATTTTGAATTGGAGTCTCACTCTGTCGCCCAGACTGGAGTGCAGTAGCCACTCCCGGCCACCACAGCCCCGACCTGCTGGGTTCCGGCGATCCTTCCACCTCAGCCTTCTGAGTAGCCAGAATTACAGGCATGCACTACCACACCCGGCTGATTTTTTTATTTTATTGTAGAGATTAGGTCTCACCTGTCCAGGCGGGTCTCGAACCCTCAGGCTCAGGCAATCCACTCACCTCAGCCTCCCAAGGCGTGGGATTACAGACTGAGCCAGGCTATGACAAATTATTTTTAACACTGAAGTATAAAAGCCCTGAAATATCAAAATACAAGTATACAACATTAATCACAACAAAATAGTAACCAGCTTACAATCAATATTGTATAGTTGGTATCAGGTAATTATCTCAACTTTCTCCTTACCTGACTACACATTTTCTTTTTTTTTGAGTTGGAGTCTCACTCTGTCACCCAGACTAGAGTGCAGTGGCCGCTCCTGGCCACTGCAGCCTCAACCTGCTGAGCTCCGGCTATCCTTCCACCTCAGCCTTCCAAGTAGCCGGAACTACAGGCACGTGCTACCACGCCCGGC